GGGACAAAAGACCTATCTATAACTATTACCAAAGGGATAGTGTGAGGTCACCAGTTTTATGGTTTCAGCTTCATGACATTAGCTATTTCAATAGCTGTTGGGAAATTTGGATCAGAGGGGCATCACGTATAATTGCACAAAAGATGGAAAAATTAACACATGCTGAAGAAAATTGCTTTCAGAAACAACATCACTCTAGGTGAAGGATAAAAGCTACAAGTCAATACAAAAGATTAAATATATAAATATAGGGTTATATAGGGTTATATATATAAATATAGCAATCTTACTTTGCATTTAAAAGAATACAAATAGCTTCCATCACTGTCATGACAAGATCAGGAGGTTTAGTGAAAACTCTGATTTCAGAAATATCTGCCTTATCTAAAGAATCTAAGGCTTTGTTGGCAGCTTCTAAAGCTGGAAGGGCTTCATCCAAATCTCTCTGGGCATCATCAGCTATTGCCTGAGTTTCCTCTGCTTTTACTTTTGCAACAGCTTCATCTTCCTGAACAACACGCCGAACCTGGAAGAAAAAAGAGTCACCTTGTAGGAGAGATGGGCAGCATAAAAAATTAATCGATAAATAAAATTAAAAAGAAATACATATTTTAAGAAAAAAATATTTTAAACACAGATAATCCTCGACTTAAGACCACAATGAGTAACAAAGTGATTTTGATCACTAACAATGTAGTTGTTAAATGAGTCATCACATGACCCCCCAATTTCACAACTATTTTTAACATTGTTGTTAAATGAATTACATGGTTGTTAAGCAAATCCAGCTTCCCCCATTGTTTCTGCTTGTTGGAAGCCGGCTGGAAAGGTTGCAAATTGCCATCCTCTGACTATGGTTGCAAATGCAAGCCAATTGCCAAGTGCCCAAACTCATGTGACTATCGGGGTGATGCAATGGTCGTAACTTTGAGGACAGGTCACAAATCACTTTTTAAAGCACTGTTGTAGCTCCAAACCATTGTGAAATGAATGCTTTTAAATTGAGGATTACGTGCAGATTTCCTAAGAAAACGAAATAGAACAGGTAGCAGTCATTGCTTATATGGGAATTCAGAATTTAGTGGATTAGATGAAATATCCTTAAGCAAAATTATTCTAGTAGGAAGAACAGTGTATGGAGGGGGGTATAGACAGGACTCCAATGCTATCTTCCTCATTGCCTCAAAGGATTCCTTAGAGTTTAAAAGCAGAGGGGGGAATTGTATAACTGGAGAAATTCCTTCCCTTTTCAGGCAGTAGAATTCTGGTGGATCGAAAACCTCCATTAAAGTTTATTGTTTCTATTTAGTAAAATTCTTCTACTAGAGCCGTGGTAGTGCAGTGGTTAGAATGCCGACTGCCAGCAATTTGATTCTGACCAGCTCAAGGTTGACTCAGCCTTCCATCCTGCTGAGGTGGGTAAAATGACCCAGATTGTTGGGGGCAATAGGCAGGCCCTGTAAACCGCGAAGAGAGAGCTGTGAAGCACTATGAAGTGCCATTGCTATTATGATCTGATCTTTTAACATGTGGAAAGATATCGCTTTCTTAATGAAGAAAGTTAAAAACTCTGCATTGATAAAGCTTTCCCTACCCAAAGCAAATGAGACTGCACTTCAGGTAGTTTTTGGTTTATGGTCACAGTTGAGCACAAAATTATGATTATAAGTTGTGGCAGTCATGAAGTAAGAAGCCCATGTGATTGCCTTGCTTAATGGCCACAATTCCTGCTTTTTACATTATGATTAAGTGGCCCTCTATGTCATTAAGTGGAGAGTTTGGTATTCATATGTGTTTTACTTGGGTGTCTCCCACCTCGAGGCACCCTTTTCAGAGTTTCCCACCCCACTAGTTTCCATAGTCTTGGAACTTCACTCATTCTAGTCACAACTCACTCCACTTACTGAAAACCACCTTTGAGAAAGAGAGCTCTTCCTCTACAGAGGCCACATGGTACTATTCTGGAAGAGGGCACCATTTTGGAAGCAGTGGCAATTCTCGAATTGCAAAAATTGTGGCCATTCCCAAAATGGCAGATTGGCTGATCTGTTTCTCAGAGGTGATCTCAAAGATGCTTGTGCATTCCTATTTATTAGGGATTACAAAACCATTTGGCATTCACATTCTTACAACATCCACATATTAACTTATAACATAACATGCAAACACCCTTAAATGTTTTTATATATGTTACTTTATCTAGGAACTGCCAAACAGAAAAATATTCAGATAGAGGAAGACATACCATGGTGTTACATTGATAAATAAATATATATTAATTTTTTTAAAAATATTTAATAACATTTTATACCTGATCAGCGTTTTCTTGATCGACTGCTAATTTTTCCATCAAGGCCTCAACATCCACTGATTTCTCCTTGAGAACTGGTTCTAAAGCAGAAAGATCTAATTTCATTTTGTCAACAAGTACATTTGTCTCTAACAGTTTGGATAAACCATTCTTTACCCGATCCCGAGCCTGAAAAACAAGCAAATAAATACTGATAATTGTTTCAGTACTTTGAAAAGATATCTTAAAAATCTGATGCAGGTGGCTGTTTTCAGTAATTCTATGGATAATCTTAGTTAAATTAAAATGACCGTGATAATGATATCAATATTTTAATATGTATTTATTACCATCATTTTAATTAGCCAAATCAGCATGCCAAAGAAATTACTCGACTGGATAGCTTTAGCATTTCTTTTACTTAAAAAACATTATCTTTTACAACAAAGTAAATATTTCTATCAAAGTTAACCTAGTTTTCACACTATAATTGACACTTTGCTGCAATGTTTTTTTTACTCAAAGACTGTTTTATTCTACTAGATCTTAGGGTAGACTTCTTCAACTGGTATTCCTTAATCAGACCATAGCTCCCAAAATTTCAAACCAGAATGGTCTAAAGCAGGGGTCCCCAATCTCCGGTCTGCAGTATGTCAGAAACTGGCTGCACAAACAAGCAAAGCCCCCGCTGAGGGATATAGGTAGCACATGAAACCGCACCCCTTCCGGTCTGCGGAAAAATCTCTCTCTATGGAATTGGTCCCTGGTGTCCAAAAGCTTGGGGGCCACCGGTCTAAAGACAACTGAAGAGTGAAGAAAGCTAGTCCATATTGTACCAATCTAGTAGGTAGTTTTTGCTGAGAGATAGACAAATACATTTCCATCCATGCTGCTATGTCCAGTTTTGCCGCATATAACATTTGAAGCTTATGGAGATTTGCAGTCCTAGCTGTGTCTACATATGAAGACTAGAATACATTGTCTTTCATTGTACAGATTAGTAGCATCTGTCTGGAAGATAACTGCACAAAACTCCTATTATCTGTGAAAAGTATGGCTAAAACCATCAACAGCTGTTTTTCCTGAATGTAGATTGCCTTATTCAGAGACAGAAATGTTGACATCTGAATTTCTTATACAATCATGCTAAATTTAGATATAAATGGATGAGAGATTATATTTAAGCCAATTTGATAGAAATGATACCTACACTCCTACTACCGAATAGCAATATTTTCATTACAAAGAACAATATAAATAAGTTTGTTTGTATGACAACAGTGGGGTAGGGAATGAAAAACGTTTCTATACTAAATTCCATTATTATTTAATAAAGATCAACGTACTGAAACCAGTTGCTTCCTTTTTTCAGCAAGCATGGACAAATAAAGATTGATTAACTCTAAATAGGAAGTTGGTGTTGTATAGTAGCGTCGCCGGAGCTCTGCATAATACTGCTCTGCCATCTCTGTAACACTCATATGGATGTCTACACACATTACAGAAAGTTTCTCTTTCATTCGATCAGTTCCGAGATCAACATGCATAAAAAAAGTTCTTGATACAGAAAGAAGTGCTTCTTTTGGCCACTGGGGGAAAAAAAAGAGAAAATGGCTATCTAAATAATCTTTCTTGAAATATATGTGCAATACACAAACCATTTTTTTCCCATTTATTTCAGCAGAATTGTCACTGAAAGACTAAAAGGATGTGGAGGCCATTATTAAATTGTACTTAATATCATACTTTCATATGGCACGAACATAAGGCAGCTGCTTTAATTTATGATTTCTGGAATTGGAAAGAAATACTAATGTATTCCACTTGTAACCCATGAAAACATTAATGCTCATTGACTATTGAAGGATATTTTCCTTTTAGTTACTATTACATTTAGCAGAGATATTTCTTCTTTCCCTATAAAATGTAAAATAATTTTCTCAAAAGCCATGAATGATGAGAAAAACCGAGGGCCAATGTTTGACCATTTTCCAAAATTATATTAATTTGTACTTAAATTATAGGTTGAATATAATGTTTCAGAATATAGAAAAAAGTAAACTTGATGGGAAAATAGCAATCCTTAAAGTAGATTCATAAATTGTTTAACATCTTATCAACATTCTTCAATGAATTGTTTACCTGCACAAACCAGTCAATAGTGCAGCAGTTCACAAGGGAGGGAAACATTCGGCACCGTGCTCGGAAAGCATCTCCAACAGGACTCATACACAGGACAATGTGCAGCTTCTGTCGGACTCGACTAATGAAATACTGAAATACCTGAGAAAAGACAAGTTATAATTCAGTGACAGAAAGTAAACATAATTATTAGTATCATTTCCATCATCCACTTTTTAGACAGTTTGTGTTACTGAAAATGATACAGGGGTGTCAAACTTGCATCATCATGGCATCGTCACGTGATGTATCAGGACTTTTTCCCTCATTGCTAAACCAAGCGGGGGTGGAGCCAGCACGTGACGCATCCGGTCCACAGGCCATGAATTTGACAACCCTGTACTATAAGAAGCAATAGTCTAAATGACTTAAATATAGGTAGTCCTGGACTTACTATCACAACTGAGTCCAAAATTTCCATTGCTAAACAAGGCAGTTGTTAAGTGAGTTTTAACCTATTTTATTACCTTTTTGTCACAGTTGTTAAGTGAATCACTGCAGTAATTAATTGAATTGTGTGGTCATTAAGCAAATTCCCATTGACTTTTGTTTGTCAGAAGCCAGCTGGGAAGGTTACAAATGGTGATCACATGACTCTGGTATAGTGCAACTGTCATAAATACATGCCATTTGCCAGGTGCCTGAATTTTGACCATGGGGATGCTACAATGGTTGTAAGTATAAAAAACGGTCATGTCAATGCCACTGAAATTTTCAAATGGTCACTAAATGAATGGTTGTAAGTCAGGGGCTTATATACCTCTCTAATTCTTATAAATTGCTGATATATTTAAATATCTATAATAAACATGGATTTAAATTATACATGTAAATTTACAGTATTTATAATATCTTACCTCATCTCTGTTGCCCTCTGCTATTCCTACTTCTTTTGCCTTGGGTCGAGTAGCTGCCATGACAAACTCCAGTTCATCCTTTTCAAACAGATTAGGTACCTCTCCAGAATTCAAAATATTATTTATATCTTCTAGGAATTCTTCTACAACTATCTAAAGATTTTATAAATACCAAGTATTTAAAAAGTTATATTGTTAAAAAAAAAGAGTCAGAAACCAAACATTGCTAGAAAATAAGAGAAAAGAGAACTAGTATCCATTACAAGAATCAGATCTGGTTACTTCTAAAATATGTTTTCTTCTCAGCTTTACTTTTAATTTGTCGCTCCTAAGTTATGTATAAAAACCCAATCATTAAGCATTTCCCCCCATGATATTTACATCCAAAACATGTTGTTAAAAAAACTGCAGTATTAATTAGCATAAAACATATTATTGCTGCTAAAATCTGAGATTTTCAGCAGAGGAACAGATGTCTCCTTTTTTCTCAGCATGTTATCTGTACTGTTGGATTGTTTATCCAAGACTGATAATTTGTGCTGTTTTGATTTATCTTGAATGGGGCTTACTTCTGAACATAAATAAATATTGAAAAATTAACCTCATCTAATTTTTACTTATTAATGTCAAATCTGTAAACAAATAAGAAAGTTTAAGCAACATCTTAAAAATCTGGAAAGTTCAGTTTTACTGATTTCCTTTCTACCACAAATTTGCAAAATCCAAATTACTTAAGAGACGTTTATATTTTCAGCAGAACCAAGATTCCATGGATAATCATAATATTGCCTATTATTATTCTGCTTCACTAAATCAGTACAATAAAATGTAGAAGAGTGTCCATATGTACCACAATATCCCACAGAACATAAATATCCTATATGGTATCTTCCTAATGATACACATGTCACTCAAATTCAGAAAAACACAAATGCATATATCCCGTCCATTCTCTCTCAGTGGGACATAGAAAGAAAGAAAGGTACATGCAGAAAAGCCACAATGCCTATGTTTCAATGCCTATGTTTATCTGAATAAGATTTTTATAAATAGTTGCTGGATTAAGTTTAAAACTCAGTGTCTTATTTTTATTGTTTGTTTGTTTATTAAATTAATAGGCCACCCACCTTATCTCAAGGTAACTCTGTCTTAGGATTTATCTACTGGTATATGGTATCTAAGTTTTGTAGAGATTCTGTGCGTTATCTCAATATTTACTTGTTTGGAATATTTTTTATACCTTTTTGTTAAATTATCTTTGATGAAATAAACATTCTCAAACAAACTGTTTCCTAATGGAGATTTGGGGGATTAAGCTAAAAATTGCTACTTTAATATACGTTCCCAGGGAAACTAAAATAGTCAGCTAAACCATAAAACCTAGAAAAGGCCAAGAACGCTAATAAGCTGGGAGGTCACAGAGCTCTGGGAAAGCAAAAGAAATTAAATCCCTTGGGCGAAAAAACCCCCGCTACAATTACAGAATCCTGCCTTTAGTTCTCTCAAAACCCCATTGTCTCTGTACTCCTGCCCCATTACCTTATAGCTGCACCCTAATGGCTGCACTGACCTAACTAGGTATATGATCTAATCAAATACTTTGTGTTGGCTATACCTCATGGAATACCTGACTGTTATCTATTTACATACATATTCTAATTTGTACACATCTCTTTAAAACAACTGTAGCTGGACAGGTTTTCTTAGGCCTCCTCCATTTCCTTCAAAGCTGGCAATAAACCAATTTGCGCTTCAGTTAATAAATTAATTCAATTCAAATATATCCCTGAAAATATATCTCCTACACTAAACATTCTTTACTAAAGGATTTGAGTAACCCCCATGCCGAAACCAGTTATCAAAAAAGTCCATCAGATCCCAGAGTACATTTCTCATGGGAATTAAGTTGTCTTGCTGTGAGGCTAAACCACAGAATATCTTGCAGCATAAGGGAACGCTATTAATGATCCTTGAACCTGACAGAAGGAATTCGGCACATTAACCTTTGAGAAGAGATGACAGAAGAAGAACATGATAACCTTCAGATACCTGAAAGTCTGTCACATTTGTTTGTTTCTATCATTCTAGATATAAGTTACAAGAAGGAGGATTCCAAATGAATTTCAAAAAAAAAAAGGAGCAGTTTGACTGTGGAACAAATTAAGAAGTGATGAGTTCTCCTTCACTGGTGTTCAGGCAGAGACTATATGGCCGTCTGTCTAGGATGTGTTTTTGCACTGAGCAAGGGGGTTGATTTAATGGCTCTTTACAATTCTAACATTTTATAATATTTGACGATTGCTATAGGATTGGCCTCATTATTCAACTGATAGCTAAGCTTTTTCCATTTCATGTTACACAATTAACAGGCTCAGATGATGTGCCTTTGGCAGTCTGACTGCATACAGTATGACCTAATGATCATCTCTTTTGCTCCAGTTAAGAAAGGATACTGATTTAGTTCAAGATTGACAGATTTCAAGGGCAGAAATTAATCTTTTGAGAAAATGGAAGAAATGCTAAATTAAACAATTACCTGACCAATGAGACTAATTTCATGAATGCCAGCATGTTTGTGAATTATTAAGTTATTATTGTTTGGTATTGTTGGGAGAGAAAAAAATTAAAACATGCCTGATAAACAATGATGAATTATTTATGATCTGTAAATCGCAGAGTTGCCTTATTGGGGGAATAAGCATCATATAAATTTAATAAACAAACAAACACATATTTATATCACACAATTGAAGTATTTCATGTGTTCCATTTTTTTTCTTTCATAGAGTAAAGGAAAAAGGCAAAAACTAAACAAGATTAACAAGAATGAACTAAAACAATTGGTGATGATATTCATGATAATCTATCACCGTAATAAAGATTTGATTTGATGCATGTGATGTTCAAAGAAGAAATAGATTTTAAATATCCCAATTCAATATTCATAACCAGGGCAACATTAGTACAGATTACATTATTAGAAAAACCACTGCTAATATAGCTAATAAATAGCAGTAAGAGTTACAGAATCATAATTTATTGTGGGGGTTTTCAAAGCTCTTTATCATTGTGTTAATTTTCAGCCAGAGAGATATTTTTAAATAACATAGCTCTAATTAAAGTTGTGTTTTAGTTTTCTAACATATTGCAACAGTAAACTTGGCAGCTAACAACAAGAATTGAATCTATTACTTATGTGCATCAATCTCTATGCTTCAGGAAATATGGATAATTAAAAGCAGAATTCATTATGAAAGATTGTAGGGTGATTTTCTTCAAAAACTTTGTAATAAAAAACTAATTGGGTATTATCACAAAAAATGATCATCCTATGATATTAGTGACAGTTTATATAAATTTAGCACAGTGCCTCCTATTGATATTTATCTGATTTTGATGTAAACTAGATTTTAAAAGGACTTTTATGCTTCAAAGATTAGAAACATACAATGAGCTGTATCAAGTGCAGAATCCTAATCCTCCAAGTTTTGATAAAAGCTTTCAGGACAAGCCTGCTGAGTTTAATTAAATTTTACATATCACTGGAGAGATTTCCTTCTATTAAATGAGGTAGATACACATCAATCTTAAAATGTTGCTAATAATGTTAATCAATTATTTTCTTTTTTAGAAAGAAATGCTTGATAAATAGTACAAACTATCTCACAGTAACGGGGCTGTTTCATGGCAGTTCCAATTCCCCTATAAAATATGATTTATGTGAAGTGTGTCTACTGGAATAGCAGCCTAAATATTCCTGAATGCAGTTCAACTAATATCATATCTGATCCAGTAACCAATCTTGGAAACTGAAAAGAGTTTTGAAAGGTTTGATCTACTTAAATAATGTCAATGTTAACAAGTTCCAGTTTCTAATGTACTCAAACTCTTCTACTACATTCTTCTTCATTCTATCCCACTGTATTTAATTTTTATTTCTATTCTACAATGTATTATTTGTATTCTATGATGAAATAATTGGGAGGGAAATGGAATCGTTTTTAGGAATGAAGAGAGCTTCCTTAATGTCCTTATGATATATCTTAGTAAATAATGATTATTGTTTTATATATATATGGCATTCAGCTTTGTTCAGGTATTTTCCCACATCATTGTAGTTGTTCTTTCAAAGTTGTAGCAACGTTTCAGCAGAATCTCATCTGTATACAGAAGCCTGATGATGGCAGATGAGATTCTGCTGAAACATTGCTACAACTTTAAAAGAACAACTACAATGACGTGGGAAAATACTCAAACAAAGCTGAATCCATACATGTAAGTACCCGCGAAAACTTAAGAAAACAAATATATATATATATTGTGCGTGTGTGTGTGTATGTAACTTACTTATCAAACTTAATTTCAAACAATTTTATAAGTTAAAAAACCCACAACAGAATAGTAGAAAGGCTATTATAGTGTTGAAAAGGCAGAAAATGTATTTAACATCAGTCTGATATAATTATAAATGCAGTAAAGCAATGTGTGTTTGTGCTGTTTGGGGGGCGGGGGGGGGGGGGCAGAGATAGCAGCCATAGAGACAAGGACTTGAGTGAGCCTTTTGCAACCAATTCCCTACCTTTGATTAACATTACATCTTTATCAGTTGTTTATTGTATTGTTTCTCAAGCTGAGTGGAAATTGACCCTCCTGCTGCTTTCAGGCAGCAAATGTGTAAACTGTCTAAAATTACTGGTGGCACACCATTATTTGAAAATATGTGGTGGAGTTGATTATGAGAGAGGAAGCTATTCCAAGGCAAGTGCAGGGAGCCATGGGGGAAACTAACAGCAGCTGCAGAGAACTGCCATTATGAAAATTCATAGAGCCGAAATAAGTTTTCAAAAATAAAAATGGGGGGTTGGGGGTTGGCAGTTAAGTCCTGGCTCAGCTGTGGTATAAGAGGTATCATTGTGAACTGAACTTTAAGATAGTGATACCAAAGCTTGGGGGCAGGCAGCGGGAATTTTTGCCTTCCATTATCTCTTGAGTTCCCAGTTCCTAATGAGGTTAAGCCTGAGTGATAAGACAACATTACAGGGACTGGGGTTTTTTATCCAGGGACTGGATAAACTAAATATGAGAACAGTGAATTTGAAGGTTTTGGAGCTTTTTTATGAAACTGGAGGGATGTTAATCGGCTCCTTAAGAGCAAATCAATACATTTTCTTTCAAAGCCAAACATAACTTCACATTCCAGACATTCTGCTAAATCAGTGTTTCTCAATCCTGGCAGCTGGGGATTGAATTCTGGGGATTGAAGTCCACACATCTTCAAGATGCCAAGACTGAGAAACACTGTGCTAAATTATTTGAGACTGCTCATAATTCATCCAAAACAGCTGTCGAATATTTTTGTGATTCTGGGTTTTGGCTGAGATGCAACCCAAGGAATCCTGGAAGGATTTCATGCCAGGAATAAGGCAAGACTGGTGTCTCTCTCCCAGCCTTCCCCTTTTCATCTTTCACTTGTTCCCAGAATTACCATCCAAACTTCTTCTATAATTTTTCCTCATTGGTTTCATTTTTAAGATATGAGAATTATGTAAACCCACAGAATCTTATTCATGTAACATGGTAACATCAGTTCAAAGAAAAAAATAAGAAAGTCCAGTTGCCTCCAGAAAAAGCACCTTTGGTACAACCATGACCTGGATGACTGAGACTTTTAGCTATATAATTTGGGATGAACACCCTTTGAATGGTGTGGGGGTAGGAATGGATTTCCAGAGAAAAAACTGTAGACTACAGGAACCAAGAGCACTACTCAGGTGACCCTGAGGAAACAGAAAAACCTCCAAGTGCTTCAAATACCCTCTAAAAGGATGCATATGACCAGCTGTCTGCAAGGAACATAAATCCTTCCATTCCCCACCATCCTGTCAGAGCTGAAGAAGCTTCTTGGATGAGAAGCAAAATGTCTTCAAAGAAAATCCGGCTGCCTTCAGAAAAAGCACCCTTGGGACATCTGTTTGGGTCTATCTTCTATTCATCAATTAATACTGGCACAAATATCTATTTTAAACATGTCCTTTCTATAGATCTAGTTTATTTTGTAAATGCTCAAATTACTGTTCTAAGTATCAAATACTATTTACATCACTGCTTTATCCACAATTATTCCACTTTAATTATTCCAATTATTCCATGTTATTCCGCACTTCAATCACTTACTAATGTTGCCATGGAAATTGTTGTCACTTTCATTGTTGAAAACAATGTCCCGATATCAACATTTCATGAGCTTCATTTCAAGTGTATTTCTTTTTGTTTGTTTGGGGGTTTTTGCTCTCATTTTTATTCTTGTATTTCCATACTGGTTTAGGCATATCAATGGATTCTTATAGAGTTAGATTTTCTCTTTCTTTAATTTACGGGCATTTTTTTAGTTTTATAGGGAGTGACATAATCCAGCAGTGGCTCACATGCAGAAAGGTGCAGGTTCTCACGTAGCTAAGCATTCTTATTCATGCTATAAATCAGTACATCTTCCTAATCTGCAATTGTACATTACTAGCTGTGTCCCTCTTATCACTTTCCATTAAAATTCCTAGAATGAAGAGTGAGAATTCTTTGCTATGCCTTGAATCACCCTTCACCACAAACTGGCAAACTTCATTGCCTGCCACAGTTTTATGTGGGATAAAATCACAAGGCAGATATGGGTAGTCTTTACTTATGACCCAATTACGTACCACTACAATTGAGCCCAAAATTTATGTTGCTAAGGGAGAAATTTGTTAAGTGAGTTTTGTCCCATTTTACGACTTTTCCTGCCATGTTTGCTAAGTGAATCACAGTAGCTGTTAAATTAGTAACACTGTTGTTAAGTGGCTCTGGTTTCCCCATTGACTTGTCAGAAGGTCACAAAAGGTGATCATGTGACCATAGGACACTGCAACCATCATAAATGTGAGTCAGCTGTCAAGTATCTGAATGTAAATCCTGTGACTATGAGAATGCTGCAATGGTCATACGTGTGAAAAATGGTCATAAGTCACTTTTTTCAGCGCCGTTGTAATTTTGAATGGTCACCAAGTAAACTGTTGTAAGTCAAGGACTACCTGTACTACCAAAAACAAACAAACAAACAAACAAACAGAGAAACAACAGCCCACACTTTGCAGAAACATGAATGAATCCAAATTTTATCTTTATCCTTTGCTAGCAGAGTGCCTCTACTTTCAGTGTCTTATCTGAACTTTAAACATTGAATGGCATTTAAAATTCCCTTTCTGAAGTGTTCTGGCTGCATGAACAAAAGTACATAAATCACATCACATTTCATTATATTAATGGTGCTTTATCTGCAAAATGAATTTCAGTATCATTATTTCATACCTGGGTGTCTGTGAAAAGGAAAACCATGTCTTTGTCTTCCACCCCTGCCATTTTGTATAGCTTTCTAAGGTCTTCATGAAAAGAATCATAATTATAGCCACGACTTAGTTCTATTTGAAAGCATTTATAGCCACAAATGTGAGAGGCAAGTCTAGTCAGAGACTGCTTCCCTGTGCCTCCAACACCAACCAGGAGGGAATTTCCTCTTTCCTGACGAATCATCCGAGCAATTCTAGGCAGAAAATTGAAATGACATTTGACTTTGATAAAACTTACAAAAGTAAAAATGCCATTCTACCATATTCATTCAGTGACATACAGGAATTGAAGCAGTGGATTTTTTTAAAAAATACTCTCCCAAGACATGACTACAATCACAGCTTGATTCATGCACCCTTTTATTGTGGCTCAGAATCACCCTTATCCATATAACTAAAATTTGATAGCAAAAATCTCAACAGTTTATTGTGTTAGATTTGGTCACTCCTTCTGACCAGGGAGAACTAAGTTTAAGAAATATAATATAATCACCACCAAACTTGTTCTGATTTATGAATTTATGGTTTGCTTTACTTTGGTACAAGGACTATTGATGGCTTCAAATCAAGGGCCTAGGCTGCTCACTGGCATTTTACTTCTTTTGTTCTTTGCCCTATTTGCATACCATGTTTTTTCCGGCTGTGTTTCATACATATTTATTCTTGTTTTATATTTTAGCTATTCATACTGTATTTACTTTTAATAGACTTGAACAGTTCTTTCTACATCTCTGACAAATGCATCCTTTGCCTACCCTTTTGCTACACTTCAGTGTTCTCCAGCCAAATATAATGAATCCTTCTGCAATCTCTGTAGAATGTTTTTAGATTTCAAGAGGGTGCGATGATAAACTTACTTTATTCAAATGTCACATTACTTAACATATGGAGAGGGAAACATAAAATCCAACTTCGCATATTGGAGTGAGCTTGTCTTTGCTTGCCTGGAAACTCACCTAATTGTTGGTTTGTTTATAGTTACCTAGCTAGCTACCTAGCTAGATATATATAGAGATATATACATATAAATTGTATTTAATAAAAATTTGATATTGCCCATATCACTTACAGAATCACAAGTAAAAATCAAGGTAGAATAATTTAAAAGTTAAGAAATGAAGGCAGAAGGAGCGCTATATCTCTAATATGTATTGTCTATGTATATGATCAAGTTTTGGTTCACGTTGACAAATGGGCTGGTCTGGAACTCAGGAAACTCTGAGTTGGGGACTTGCGGTTGTGCTCCTGTCGAGTCGGAGTGGAATTCGCGATTGTGCGCAGTTTCGCTCTGTGCTCACTCATTGGAGGGTCCCATTCAAGACCGGAACCACCCTGGAGGGGTAGTGAAGAAAGAGTGATCCACTGGAGGATTGAGGGGAGCCGCATCTCTCCTCCCCGACAAGGAAAATACCCTCTGAAGACAAGCTGCAGTGGTGGTCTAAAATGGCCACCACAAAGATGGGAGGCAGTCCAGGAAATTAAGACTGTGCTGAAGCAGTGAAGCTATGAGCAGTATATGAACCAGGCAAAATACATGGACATTAAGGTACCCCGGAATTAAGAAACAAAGAAATTTTTAGGAAAGATTGTAAAAGCAGCAACCCGAGAGAGAGAGAGAAGAAAATTGGAGATTTGTGAAATTGGTTTTGGACTTGGAAAAGAATTAATTTGGAGATTGAAAATTCATAAGAAAATATTTGATTATAAAAGACTTGCAAATTAAATAATTATTTGGATTTTGGCACTAAGCAGGCATAATTAAATGCTGGAATTGAATGTGTTAAAAAGAAATAATAGCTAATAGTTGAAACATTGAAATTTAAAAGCTTAAAGCCTAAAAAGGGGGGGGGCAAAAAGAAAGGGTGGAACTTGGACATAATGGAGAGCGCCACCTAATGGTAAAGGAAAAATGTCAGTGACTTTTGAAAAGTGTTTGGTCCTTTTAAAATTGGAACTTGACATGAAATAAGAGGGATATTATTATAATAATATAGAAACCCTGAAAAGTGAAATACTAGAATACTATAAAGATAAAAAAGATACGAAAAGAAATTACTCTGCGATTACTTGGTGACTTTGGGAAAAAGTTGGAAAAGGAATTAATAGAAGGAACCTGGAAATAAAGATTTATGGAAATTGACTGTTGAAAATAAACATTAAAGATGATCGTTGAAATAAATTACTGGATAATTGGTTGGATACAAATACCAAAGAAAGGAAGAAACAAAAATAAAAGGAAGTGTACAAAATGGCAGAATTATGTGTGGAAATAAAATTGGAACTACGAAATATGAAGGAAATGATGCAAGAAAGCTTGGAAATGTGCAGTAGTATATTATAAACATTAGAAATGGTGATGCTGACTAAAGAAGAACAAAGACAACCAGAAGGGGAGGAGTTAAATAAAGAGGAAACCAGCTTTAAAGAACAAGTGGAACAATGAACATTAAAACAAGGGGGAAAAAGAATTAAATCTAAAACTTTGAGGTTTGATGTGATAATTAAAGGGGGAATTGTTTGGAAAGTTAAACAAGGAAAAAGGAAACAGCAGAAAAGGGAATTACAGAGGAAAGATCAAAAGAGGGAGGGGGACAAAAATTGGAGTAAGAAACTGAAGGAAATAATAAAGGAAAAAAGTGGGATTAAGAGAAAGGATCAGAAAATGATGGGAAGCAGAAAGCAAACAAAAATGAAAAGAAATTAAGTGGTCAGGAGGATGAGAGACAATGGGTAGAAGAAGAACAGGAAGGGGGATTCTGCAAGGTAATGTGTTGTGATACATAAGAATATAGGTTTAAAAATAGAAAAGATTGGAACTGATACTCTTTTTTTTCTTTTAGGGATTATTGTTAAATCAGATATAGATATAAATGGAATAGATGTGGAAATGGGAATTTATTATAAGGATATTAATTGATATTAAATAAAGTGATGAATAAAGTTAAAATGAATTATGAGAATTGTAATGGAAAAATTATTATCAGATTAATATTTTTGAAATAATAGATGATTGAGAATGTGATTGAGAAAAAGAATACCACATATATACAGACGGACACAATACAGAAGCCTGATGATGGCAGATGAGATTCTGCCGAAACGTTGCTACAACTTTAAAAGCACAACTATAATGATGTGGGAAAATACCCGAACAAAGCTGAATACCATACATGTAAGTACCTGCGAAAACTTAAGAATATATATATATATATAT